TGTGTGTATGCGTGTGTGTGTAGAGGAGCCTGGTCCATAGAGGCAGAGGATATTGCATCTTCTTTACTTTTGAGAGTCAAAAGGGAGATCAGATTATGAAAAAACAATAATAAGTTAAAATATTAAATTTGCAAACTACTATTAAACTCAATACTAAAAAAAAGTAGGTTCAATTTAAAATATGATGCAATGGGGGGTTAGACTAATTTCCTGTATATACCTGATATTAAAATGCGTTTTTGGTGATCAGATCACAAGGACACAGCTCCAGGTACATCAGTTCATACCTAGCATTAGAATGTGTTTCCACTATCAGCTGCCCTGCAGCAGAGATGCTCCGGGGTGCGCTGTGGGATTTTATTTGAGCAGACAGTTCTTCAATGTTGCCCAGGATGCATTCATTCATTCACATATATGTGGTCAAGTAACCACCTCGGTAAGTGGTTTGAGTGTTTGGTCTTGGTGGTTGTTTACACCCATCCGATCACCCAAGATGCAAGTTAATAGCAAGTTTGAACTGGGTAAACTTTTATACTCAGTAGCCATCTGTGAAGGTGGCATGGGTTGAGGCACCATGAGGAGTCTACAGACACACAGAAAACAAGCAAATTCCATATAGAAAGTTGAAGAACCCAGAATCAACCTGAGACATTTCAAGGGTGAGAAGATCAACTGATCTTGCCATTGTTTTCTTATCAATGTAACTGAAATCACTCTGGCTTAACCTCTGCCCCACAGGTTTGTAATGTTGCCTGCTTTGCTTTCTATCACAACAGTTTAGAAGTTCATATCAATATCAAGTTATGAAAACCTTTGTTATTAGGGTAAAACATAATGTGTTCATTTAACCTGTGTGTACTCCAAATCTGGGTGTCAATTTAATTTCCATCTAGTAGATATAGTTACTCAGAATAGAAACCACACACTACTTTAAACATGCCCTGGTGATCCTGTAAATGTCACAATGTTGAGAATAAAATATTGGAATTGGAACTTTTGTTTACAGGTAAATACTGGCCCACTTCTTGTCATATCTCACACCCTAGATAAATACTCTTATCTTCTGCATTAGGCCTGTATATAACATAAGAAAGCCAGCTAATGTAAAATAACATGACATTATTGGTTGGCTGTCAGGCGCAACTGTTATGCAGTAAGTATTTTTACTAGGTAGCTATGGGGTACAGTCTTGGTAGCCAGAGAACGGTTGACAAAATTTACATCCTGCGCTACCAAAACATAATATACTAATGGTTGAAAAGCATAAAAACAAATGCTTTTTCCCTTTACTGAGGACAGTTGTGACAGTAATTTCTTACAGGTGTGCTTTTTAGCAGTCAAACTACATCCACACTCCAGGGATTTATTATGCCCATGTCATCTAATGTATTGTTTGATCTGGAATAATAAACAAGTCGAGAAATGGGTCTAAACTTTTTAAATTTTGATCATAGCTGACACGTTTGCAGCAGCTTGTAAAGGCTGAAGTAGAAAACGTTACCTTTCTCAAGTGCGTAGCTATGGAAGGTTTGCATCAGCTAAAATAACTGGGTCAGAGTTTACTCTCAAGGTAAAACTTTACCTAATTTTTCCTTCAACCCCTGTACAGACTGAACTACTCTCCCTTTCAGATCACATGTCAACATTAAGATATGGCATTTAAGATAATAAAAATGCGAACCTATCTGACTAAACACTAACAGAGCACTGTTCTGAGAGTTGCTGATAAGGACAGTGGTTTACTACTTTTTGTGGGGGAACTTTTCCATACATCAGCCCTACCCTGTTTCCCTCACTGGCAGCTACAAAAGGCATCTCAAAGCCTTATCAAAACACTCACAGAGCCAAAGGCAGCAGGACAGGAGACTTATTTTGTCAGTACACTGGCAAGGACACATTTTCTTTACTAGCAGTTGTTGGTTGAAGTTTTTTACACTTTGTCCCTCCCATTGGACACACCCTCTTTAGGAAAGCATTCACCGACCTAAAGGCTCCTGTAGGAAATTTTTTTTTTCAGTACACTTCAGAAACATCAGGAGGCTTTTTTTTTTAGATCATGGGGATATTTGATCTTTTTCTCCAATCCTCCAGTTCTGGCCCCCTGCTGGGGGCTCTGGTGGTCCTGCTGCTTGTCTACTTCATCTCTTCCAGCTTTAGCTCCCAGGAAAAGGGGAAGGATCCTCCAGGACCAAAACCACTTCCCTTACTCGGCAACCTGCTGCAGCTTGACCTCAAGAGACCCTATAAGACATTACTGGAGGTGAGTTTCTTGTAGTTTCTTGTTGTTTCTGCTTATGAGTGTGTATTATATGATAAAATGCCATTACATGCATTATGTCCCTGTTCATAGCTTTCCAAGAAATATGGTTCAGTGTTCACCGTCTATTTTGGAACCAAGAAAGTGGTGGTCCTGGCTGGATACAAGACTGTGAAGGAAGCACTTGTCAGTCATGCTGAAGAGTTTGGAGACAGAGACCAAGTGTATATTGTGGAAGAATTTAACCAAGGACATGGTAAGGAAAGACAAAAAAACTAAGCTTTTTTAAATCAATATCCCTTTCATGTTTACAACCTTAGTCCTTAATAGCATATTTGTTGAAATATTCAAATCTCAGGGGTTTTATGGTCAAATGGTGATTCCTGGAAAGACATGAGGCGCTTCGCCTTGACAAACCTGAGAGATTTTGGGATGGGCAAGAGGGCATGTGAGGACAAAATCGCAGAGGAATGTGACTACCTCATTGAAGTGTTTAAGAAATTTAAAGGTAAGTGTCTTATTATAACAAACAAGCATGATTGGCAACATTTTGGGCTTTAAAAAACGATTGTTAATCCTTGTGATTTTTTCCCATGTTGCAGGAAAAGCTTTTGATACAACCCAACCAATTAACTATGCAGTCTCTAATATTATCTGCTCCATTGTATATGGCAGCAGATTTGAATATGATGACCCAGAGTTTACATCACTGGTGGATCGAACAAACAGAAATATTCAACTTGTGGGCTCCCCGTCAATTCAGGTATCATTTCATATGTTAAGCACAGACTTTCAGCATTGTGATTTTAATATACATAATGCCATTTGCCCTCTGAATAAAATAATTGTTACTTTACATACTTTTAATTAATTGTATTTAACAGATCTACAACCTGTTTCCATGGATTGGTAAATGGTTTCATAACAGGAAGGAAATCCAGAAGTTGACTATGGCCAACAGGCAACAGAACTTGCGACTGTTCAGTCGTTTGAAGGAAACCCTCAATCCACAGATGTGCAGAGGGTTTGTGGATGCCTTTCTGGTCCGAAAGCAAAATCTGGAGGTTGGAAAGCTTATCATCACCTATCAAAACAGCTATAATGCTCATTTATGATCTAAAAGGAAATAAGATTTAACAAATTATGTTTAACCTAACTTTAAAGTCCCACTTTTGATTCCCACGGTTGAATAAGATGTGATGCAACTTCAAATTGAGTAATCCATCAGCTTATAAATAAGGTCCCACATCCTTCCAATTGACACAGCAGACTGTGTCTGTGCACTGCATGGGAATGTTGGGAGAACTATGTACAGTCTTACAGGATGCCCCCCTATTCATCCTAGCTGGCTCCTTGTCACATAATGACATGATAATATACTGATAAGGCTCTTCAAGTCTTACATTTTTACTGGATATAATGGTTTAAATTGTGAAACACAAAGAACAGCATTGGATTGTGTTTGTGGAGCTTTTCCTTTTCTAATCATCATCAATTTAGTCCTTGCCAATGGGGAAAAATGACTTTTTGGACCCGAATTCATCACAGGACAAAATGTTAAAATTGCCTCACATCCGAGCACTATCGCTGAGGGCCTGGTGGGAAGCCAGTGAGGGACCCGGTCCGCTCATTCCGTCACCCAGTGATGCCAACTAGCTGATGTCTAAACCACTCCCAGTCATAAGACAAGAAATTAAGTGCAACCCACTCCGTCAACACCACTAATACCTAAAAAAAATGTTTTCTACTCTGTGTACAATCAACCTTTAATGTCCATGCAATTTGCTTTTCTTAAAAAAAAGAAAACTTGATGAAACAATCTGTCAACCTGTATCTGTTTGTGCTGTATCTGGGGAGCCTTCCATGGAGTCCACCATGTTGAACCGCTATGTTTCTACAGTACCCCAGAATGGACAACCAAACACTGAGTGTATATAGGGCCTTTTGACTTAAGTCCACTTAGTTGCAATCTGCAACTTCCCTGCTAGATGCCACTAATTCCTACACACTGGTCCTTTAAAAATTATACAAAACAGTGTGTTTGTCCACTTCCAATGTCTCCAAAGTTGTCCTCCTTGGTGTCAATCTCTTCTGACTTTCAAATTCACTAAGGATTGGTGTCCACCCTGCATAATTACAGTCATCTGCATACATATTGATACATGAATGCTCTGGCACTCAAAATTAATAAGTGGTGAAAGTACACAGCCCAGAGGGGATCCATTGAAAGATGAGAGCTTACTGGACAGGGTTCCATTGTGTTATATATACATATAAGTTCTGGATCAGACTTGTTTAAGTAACTGCAATGATTTATCTTTACCTGCAGGAATCTGGGACCAACAGTCACTTCCACAGTGAAAACCTGTTGGCTACAGTTCTTAATCTCTTTGCTGCCGGCACTGATACAACAGCAACTACACTGAGATGGGGACTTCTGCTTATGGCCAAGTATCCAAAAACACAGGGTAAGAAGCTAAAGACACTCACAATCGCAACAATACGTGCTTCTCAAAAACAAAAATCATCTTCATGAAAAGAAAAAAACTTTTCTACTCCCAGACCAGGTCCAGGAGGAGCTGAGCAGGGTGATAGGAAGTCGACAGGTTCAGCTTGAGGACAGGAAGAACCTGCCCTTCACTGACGCTGTCATCCATGAGACACAGAGACTAGCCAATATCGTCCCCATGTCGCTTCCTCACAGAACAAGCCGAGACATCACTTTCCAGGGTCACTTCATTAAAAAGGTAAGCATGAATAAAACACAGAATTTGTGAAAATTACTAATTGATTTTTCTTGATCTTTATGTTAATGTTTTTAATAATTTAGAATCCATATTTATGGATATGGATTCTAAAAGTCTTCTTAATTCAAATTCATATTGATTAGAGGGAGTGAACATTAGACCTCTACTGGCTAATATTATTTCACTGAGAACCCTCTTTTAAGTTAAAATTACATTTCTTAATCCAAACAAACAGCTCAAAAACAAAGAAACTGACAATCACAAGTTGTTTAATTCAACTTCCTCTTTAATTTGATGACAAATGTGTATCATTTGTTGCTTGGTTGATAGGTTGATTCAACACATTTAAAGAAACCTGACAGGTCAATTTTATAACACATACCAGTATATGATCCATATTTCTATTTGTCATAATTCAGTCTGACAACAAAAAATATCCTTCACTGCCAGGCTTTCAAAATAAAAGAGAAAGGTCCCACACTTCAAACAATATTATAAGAACATACAGCAGTAGTATGTTAGTAGGTAGTGTCCCAGGCAGTTCTCCCTACTACTCTTCAGCTCACTTCCCACCAGAAAACAGTGTCCATCTCTGGCAGTAAGAGCCGAGTAGGTCCCACTGACAGTCATTATGTGATTTTGAGCAAGAATCTTCCTGTTTGGTCCTCCATACACATCTGCATGTTCAGGATACAAAATGTGGCATTAATTCAGAAGGTAGCAATCCATTCCTGTGCTCCATTAAATATTTTTTATGTTTTTAAGTTTGAAAATACTATTGCTTATAATATACAAACCTTTTTTTTCATCCTGTCTACAGGGGACCACAGTGTATCCTCTCTTAACATCTGTTCTGTATGATGAGAGTGAGTGGGAGAAGCCATACAGTTTTTATCCTGCTCACTTTCTGGACAAAGATGGGAAGTTTGTCAAGCGAGATGCCTTCATGCCTTTTTCTGCAGGTTGGTGAATTTAGCCATCATTTCTTAATGTTTGCTTATTTGCAGATGATATAAACGTTTTCCTTTGTTGTCTCTAACAGGTCGCAGGGCTTGTCTTGGAGAGAGTCTAGCTAAAATGGAGCTCTTTATCTTCTTCCCCACCCTCCTGCAACACTTTCGTTTCTCCCCTGCACCGGGAGTTTCAGAGGATGAACTGGATCTGACTCCACGTGTGGGCTTCACCCTCAACCCTTCACATCATGAACTGTGTGCTGTTTCCTGTATGTGAGCAGTAGGGCTTGAAAAAGCTACCTTGCCCACTGTCCTGACTTCAACTCAACCCAGCAATTCATTCAAGAATAGATTATACTTAATATAGTGTTATTGCATGTAGTGCAACGGCACTGAATATGTTCAATATCAATGATGTAATAAATTACATTTTCACTTTGGCTTGATAGGTGACTGAAATTCAAGATTCATATTGAACATTTGACCAAAAAAAAAAAAAAAATCAAACCAGGCTTTCAGAAATAAATGCTGTCTGTATTTTCAAAACTAGATAAATATTCTTCAGCTAGTTATTATGTCTGCACTTACAAATATATTATGTATATTATGTATATGTATAAATCTGTATCATCAGGTTGCACCATCATTACATCACCAGTTAAAGCTTTATCAATTCAAAATGTCATACTCATCTCATTGCTCTTTGTATTATAAAGTGATTTCTTTACCTACAAGAAAAAATAATAAGGAAGTTAAAAGTTACAGTGTTACAGGCCTTTGCCATCACTGAGTGGATGTGTGTGAAAGGGTGAATGTGGCACATAGTATAAAAAGCGCTTTGAGTGGTTGGAAGACTAGAAAGGCGCTATACAAGTACAGGCCCATTTACCATTTACCATTTACAGTGCATAATTCTTAACTTTAGATATCCCAAATGTATGTGCTGACTTTAATTTAAGTAGTTTCAGGTCCATTGTAACTTTTAAATGGAATGAATTGCAAACTGCCCTCAAACTTGAAGTTTCAAAGCTTAACTATCTTTTTTATTACTTTACTACCTTTACTTTCCAGGTAAAACTTTACCTCAGTCAACCCCTTAACCTCTGTACTCTCTTTCTGATCCAAATAAAACATAAACAATGAGTAAGCAAAACCTGGTGTTAACTGATGTTTCAATTATGAAATTAAAAATAATATGGCCCTAACAGCAGTGATTTACTCGCATTGATTTTAAACTGGTTTGCAAATATAATATATAATACAAGGACATTATTTAAAAAAAATCTTACTGACATTGATTTACTTTGTCACATAATCTTTTACTAGTTGTAAGGAAACGTTTCCACACTAAATGCCCTTTCTGCTCACTCACCTGTCCTTTTGCCCTCTCTGGCAACCAAATACAGCCACTCTTTGCCAAAATACACACAGAACTGGCAGAAAAGGCAGAAGGGCAGGAAACTCAGTTCACATTGGACAAGATTTACTTTTAAATCATAGGCACATTAGATGATATACCTCATCTCCTTCACCAGCTTCCGCTCCCAGGCAGACAGGAGTTAGAGAGTGGATTCTCAAACCAAGGTTGATGGGACCCGACGAGGCGTGTTCAAACATTTAAACAAATATGTATAAAATATATTTGGGTGGCCTGATAGCTCATCTATCAGAGTCCTTGCCACATCGGTATATATATATATATATATATATACAGTATATATACACCAACCACCAAAAAATATTTTTAATAAGTAACAGTTAATATTATCAACTTCATCAATGTACTTTTTGCTTTTTATTTATGAAATTATTTAGTAGTATAAGTAGTTCTACAGCAATAATATAATCCATAAGAAAAGCTTTTCATTTTTTGTTGTTAACAGGGGGGGACAGTGTATCCTCTCTTGACATCTGTCCTGTATGATGAGAGTGGGTGAAAGAGCCCACACAACTTTGATCCTGCCCACTTCAGACATTACTGCTGAAGTTAAAACTAATTAAATCACCACATCATCTAAACTTTTGTTACTTTTTAATAGGCATTTCTCTGCTGCACGCAGAGATGGGGTGGCCAAGAGCCATATATATAAATAAAAATGTATCCAAAGGGATGTCCTTTGCCTCCTGTCATGTGACACTGTCACACCCAAACTTAGTTGTGGGGGTGGGCGTGGTTTGCGCTCAGCTGCAGGAGAGAGGTGTGGGGAAGGCTTGGCT